GGCATGGCCTACTTAAAGTATACAGCCTAATATTCTGCATATTTGCCAAAAAAAAGGCCATTAAAAAAATAAAAACACTATAAAATCAAAACAAACAAGCAAATAAGAAACATTTCGATTCTTGCAACTAGTTTTTGTTCAGCAAGAAATAAATTATTTTCTAACAGAAATTACTTTTTTTTTCAATAGAAATTTTATTTAATAAAAATTGACTTTGCCCTAAGAATGTAGTATTGTTTATACATTTTGTTATTCCATATTAATAAAAACATCTTGTATTAACTTTATATTTATGTTAACTCTAAAAAAAGATAACACTATAAACTAACTATAATATCCACACAATTTTTATCAGTAATTACTTTTTTTTAATATTAAAAAATAAATTTGTTATATATAAAATTATATATATTACTGTAATATATTACTGGTTTGTAAGTGATTTTTTCTCAGTATAAGATGCTCAGAACAAATTAAGTTTTTATTAAGCAAAATAAATTCAAACAAACTGAGCAGTTGTTCAGAATGACAAGTCAGTATTGATAATAACATTAAAAGTAAAATATAAAATTGAAAATTTCACTAACATAAATTGTCAATTTATTGTTTATCTGTTAACATTTACTAAACCATTTTAAAACTTTTTGCTATATAACCTGCAATAAGGATATGGAAGATGCCTTCTCTACTATATTTGACAGAGATATTTTCAAAGAAGATGACTGGAGTCAAAAATTTGTTAAATAAATATTTTTAGTTGATAATCTATTTGATATCACCATTTAAATAAACTTCTAATTTTAGTAACTCATTCAGAGCATAAAACATCTTTTAAGTAACCAAAACTTAATGCCACTCATCTAATGATGCTGTTTGAATTTACTGACACAATTGAACACTGTCTTTTGAAATCGTGATGAGTCACAAAGTTAAAATTTTACTGGAGAGTGAAAAATGTTTCTCCTGTAAAAAATTGTATGAAAATTTTTTTTGTAGCTTAAGTGTTTACATCTTACATCTTAAGTGTTTACATCTTACATCTTAAGTGTTTACATCTTACATCTTAAGTGTTTACATCTTACATCTTAATTCAGATAAGTTTTTAATCCGAAGCATCAACTTTTCCTAAAAAGAATTATTTTTTCTCATTTTTAAAAAAAGTGTGACTTTTTCACTTTTTTTAAAAATGTTTTTTTTTTAAAATGACACGTTTTCGAAATACAACGTTTAATTATAATCATAACTCAAAAGATCTTTATTTAAAAAGAACTATTTAACTACTGCAACTGAGCAGACGTATTTGTATTAGATTTTTATCCGCAATGCCATAGCTAATTAAAGTTTAGGTTTTTATCATTTTATTTAAATTTTCCTGAATTTAACTCTTTATTTGCAAATTTTGGGGTTTTATATAAATCTGCTGTTAAAATAACTTCCTGTTTAACTGTAACATCATCGTGAACTTAGTATACTCAAATGGGGGAAGTCTAGGTAGTTTATTTTAAAGTAAATCCACAACTCCATCAAATAAAATTAAGCTATTTTTATCTTCTGATAACAATCAATTAAATCTTCAAAAACTACTTGCATGATTGCATACTAAGAACACCAAAAGCACTGTTGAAAAAAATTTGTCAAAGTTTCAATGGTTCGATTTCTCAATCAATCACTATAAATTTTTTTAACTGAGGCAGTTTTTATTATGTACAGGAAGTTCTTATTTAACTAATGTTCTTAAAATTTTTCTATCGTATATCATTTTTGAAAAGTTCAGACCTGTTTCACCAGAAAATTATTTATATTTCTGTATATACATTTCTTCAAATATTAAGCAGATATCTTGCAACATTTGGGCTACTTTTGAATAATAATTGTATTGCACCAATAATACCAAAATGTATTTTCAATCAAAAAAGCAATGGAAAATCTTTCAAAAGAATTTTTAATAATGATATAATGTATGCTTTGTGTATTTTTTTAAAGTTCTTTAAAAACCAAAACAAACTAACAAAAAAAAAAGATTCTGCATGATTTTGTACGTAAGGAGGAAAGTGTTCAAACATACATATGCATACATACATACTATAAAAAAAAAACACTGTGTAAAGATAATAGACAACTCTTGTAAAATATTTTCATATAAGCCCTCAACAACTTGTAGAATAATCTCAATAACTTATGGTATGTAAACAATAACTTAATACATCTGGTATTAAACGATAACTTGTAAAATACAACATAATTAAGTTTTAACATTTGGTTGTTACATACCAAGAATGTATTTAAAATTGTGTGCTCAATATTTTTTTAGTATTTACAATGGTAAACATTCTGGAACAGTAATGACCAGATGACTAATGACAAGAATCTCATAAATACATAATTATTTGCAATAGTTATTTGTCCATGACACTTGAATGTAAAGTGGGTGTTGTATATTATCTTTTATTAAATAGGATCTTTTAGAATACTATCCTTGTTTTATTAGGCAGGATCTTTTATCCAGTTCTTATCGTTTTATCAAGCAGGATCTTTTCGCCTGTTTTCCTTGTTTTAAAGTACTTTTTGATTGAAAATGTTTGGCCTGTTTTCCTTGTTTTAAAGTATTTTTTGATTGCAAAAAACTAGCCTTCTATTTTTTCGACAAAAATGCAGAATATTAGGCTATATACTTTAAGTAGGCCATGATGAATGAAAGCTTAAGTAAAATAGCAGGGGAGAGAGGGTTAGTTGTCATGCAGATAGGTTGTCACAGAGTTTATTACTAAAAATCTAGATAAGATTTAGAATTTTTAAATTGTGCAACAAAAACCTTGTTAAAAAAAAGACATTTTCACAGTTATTATTTTTTTTTTTAGCGTTTAGAAAAAAAGTTATTTGTTTTTATGTGTTTTTTGTATGTAAAAGTTGAGTTTCACATACATAAAATTTTTCTTTTTCTAAATGAAAGTTATTTTATTGCGTTTTGAATGTGCATAAAGTTTTTATGTAAATGTAATAAAAAAAAATTCTCATGATATTTACTCGCTTTTAGGTAAATTTACAGCTGTTTTTATAGAAGGGAATACTTTTATAGAAGTTTTTTTTACGTTTTTATAGAAGGGAATATAGAAGGGAATACTTGTCAAAAAATAAAAGGGGATGGTTGTTGCATTTATCTCAACTGTGCGTGTGTTTTTTTTTAATTGTTTATTTAAATTCTTGGTTAGTGCTAAATAATGTTGTTCAAAAGTATGACATGGCAAGCTGTATCACAGGCTATATCTCCCAAGAATATTTTAAATGGTTTTGCTGTAATGGGTTTTTACCCATTATATCCTGATATTTTTACTGATGCTGATTATTGTCCTAATTATGTAACTGATTGCCCAAAATCCATTTTCTTTACATGCTGGTTTAAATAAAGAAAACTGCCAGCTGTATTCAGTTCAACTAGAACTACCAAATAAAAGTTTTAAATAAATTAATATTTAAAAAGAGGAAGGAAAAAGTGTTTAACTATGATTCTAACTAACTCTCCTGTCAATGCATGGCTTACTAATAATAAAAGCAAGCAAACTAGTATGACTAAAAATCCTAAATTACATGTGAACAGTGTAAAAAAAAAATTGCTTTCAAATTTTGCTAAAAAAAGCACTTTGACAGTTTTATATTTATCTAAAGATGAAGAATACTTATTAAAAGGTGAAGAATATTTGTGTATCTACTATTTGGAATCATTTGCTAATGTTTTCAGTATTTTCTTTAATCAAGTAGATTTTCTTAAATTATATTCAGATTATTTCAAGATTAGGATTATTCCATGTCCCTGGAAGTACCGTGCTCAACTTGTTTCTCTTTGCAGCGACTTTATTCATCAAGGTTTGTGTTTGGAGTTAGTGAGTTGACAACCAACCCCATGGTTGGGTTTGGGTGTCACACAGCAGAGGTCTTTGAAAAATGATTTAACATTAAAACTCAATGATATGAAATTGTTGTAATAGTTATTGGAAATAGTTTTCCTTTGTGCAACGTTTGACTTTGATTTAATGAAAAATAAAATATAATCAGTCTAAAATGTAAAAAGTGTGACAACTAGCCCCACTCTCCGCTAAACTTTTTAATGAATTTTTATGGTTACTTTATTTTCTGTTTTTTAGATGCTAATACAAAATAGTACTTGCTTTGTTTAATGATGTCAAAATGTGTAAAATAGCATTTATTATTATTAAAAAAAAATTTAGTTAAAAATAGCTAATTTTTTTTTAAAATATATTAGAAATTTTACATCCAAAGGAAAATCAATAAGATTGTTGCTTTTAAAATGGATAAAATTGTTGCTTTTAAACAAAATTATATTTATATTTATTCAAAATGAGCAGTTTATTTGTATAAGCTTTAGTGTTGCTTGTTTTTTTTTTGAACATTTCAGTCTACATTTTTACAAAATACATGTTTGCTATATTTTAATTTATTACTAAAATAAAAAACAAAAAATTTATTTTTTAAATCATTTTTACAAAATTTGATTTGCTTATGAAAATGCTTATAACCTTTTTTGTGAAATAAAATGTAGAATATTAAAAAATTCCTGTTTTTTTTTTTTTTTTTTTGACCCAGCATGACCCTGTTTTTATTGCTGTTACTTGTTTGTTTGAATGTTTTATTTAATATTTAATGTAATAAAAAAAAAAAAAAAGCAAAAAAGAAATTTTTTGAAAAAATATCAAGTATTCTATTTAAAATGTTATCACAAAAAAATGTAAAGACTATATTCTGGGAATATGATATTTTGTATAAAAATTTGCAATCCATTTATATCAAGTCTATAGCATTTTTTATTTTGTTTTCAAATTTATTTGTAACTCCTAAACAATTTATTGCTTGCAACCTTATTAACAGGGCTTGCAAGCCTGTTAATAGTGCTTGCAACCTTTTTAAGAGTTAACTTGTAACAATATATAATATTTGTGTAATTTTTTATTTTTGTTCCTGATTTTTATTAACATTCTTTTTTATAGGCAGATAATCGTTTCTTTTGGAACAAGCCAATGTTACAGGACCTTATTGATTCTGATGTACTTATTGAATTTTTTTTTAATTATAAAAGGCTTAATCTCTGTATAAAGTTAAATCAAAATATTTTATTTGTTATGCATTGTACATGTTCTAGAATCCTTTAGCTGTGCCTTGGGTGGTTCCAGTCATCCAAGGATTTGTCCAAATTCAACGCTGCTATATCAGTTCAACTGATTTTTCATTTGGTAACGGTGAAAACCAAGATGGTTCAAGTGATGAGGAAGAAGATGTTACAGATGGTATAAGATGTCATACTGGACAAAATTTAAAGGATGACGAATATGATTTGATTGTTATCTCACGTCGAAGTAGATTTAGGGCAGGTATTTTTTTTATCAATGGAGGTGTTAAAATTGTGAATAATGCTTACCATTATTTTTATTATGATTTTTATTCTTTCACTTTTTATGGCAGGCAACAGATTTGATACATGATCACAAGCCAGTATGACCCATTTACTTATTAATATGAATATTTATACAGAACAGTTGCAAAACACTGTTTTTGATAAATTTTTTGTTTAATATATATATATATATATATATATATATATATATATATATATATATATATATATATATATATATATATATATATATATATATATATATATATATATATATATTTGATGGTTAGATTTCCAATTGTTGTCTATAGAGCAGCAAAGTGTTTACCTAAGCATTATTAGTTTTATAATCTTTATTATATAAAATCATGCCCGTCCAAAAAAGTATGGATATTAAAATAGATACATCTGAGATAAAAAATAAACTTAAAAGTGAAAATGTTTTACTTTGCAGACTTAACTCAAACATTTTTATGAAAAGTCCCTTACTAAGAATACGTTTTGACAAAAATGAAATTGTTTTGACATTATACCGATGTATGGCATTTTAAACTAATTTATTATTGAGGAATTGATAATTTCTTTATTTTATTTGTTTATATAGTTTGTTTAGTTTTTTTTATATATTTTTTTATATAGTTAGTTTAAACTTTATTTCTATTTTAAAATGTTATGTATTTATACTATTATATCTAACTCAAAAAGATTAATCTATTATTAAGTAAAAGTGTGGAAAATTCTAAATTAAAAGTTAGTATTATAAATAATATAACTATTATTATAAATAACAATAAAGTTAATGTCTGTTTTTTTATCTCTTAAAGGAACCCGTTACAAACGTCGTGGTGTTGATGATGATGGAAATGTTGCAAATTATGTGGAAACCGAACAAGTTTGTGATATGATGAATATTATTTATATGATGGTTTATTAGAGTTTACAGATATAAGATATAAAATATAAAACAATATTTTTAATCCTAATACAACAAAAAACTTCACAATTGTTTTATATAGCTATAACTATGCATTAATTTTTGATGAATTTATAACTGTCACCAGTTATCACATTTTTTCCAAATTCTTTGAAATCCACTCCCCCAAAATAAGTTTACTAAATGTTTTTTAAAGATTGTTTTTTTTCCTTTTAAAAAAAATTTTTTAAAGATGGCATCAAAAATACTATAATGTTGCATTTATTAATTTATTTATTGAAAAAAATTTTTCTTAAATTTTTATTAAGTGATCAAAATAACTCATTCTCTAATATCATATTACCTCTCTAGGTCTGATCTTATAATCTCTCCCAAGGATAAGGTAGAAATATTTGCAAAAAACTTTTCCACTAATTTGATGTATATATTAATCTTGTTGTCCAGACAACATTCATGTCATAGTTATACAAAAGTGTTCTTCAGGACTCTCATTAGTTCTCCTTAAACTGTTTAAAAAGCACTTGACTGGATCTTGGTTTTCTGCCTGGTGGAAAATGTATAGTTCCGGTTTTTAAAAATTCTGGAGAGTACTCTGACCTCTCCACTTATTGTCTGACTAGTCCATTTTCTAACTAGGTGAGTCTTTAATCAACAAATTTTTAACATCTCATCTTGAGTCTAATAACTCTCCGACAATGAAGATTTTGATCTTTTTGTTCTATGGTTGATTTGCTGACTGGTGTATCTAAGTATATAAGTTTTTGAGATAATCAAATTTCTTTCTAACAGCAGAATTAAATTCATCTTTTAAGGCCAATGCTCTTCTTCATTTCCAGTAACTTCTGGGTTACCTCAAAGTGTTATTGTTGGTCCTGTATTGTTTCTTAACTACATTAATAATCTTTCTGGCATTCTTACATCTAAAGTGGCATTTTGTTGATGACTTAACTTTATTCTACTGTCTCTACAGAAAGTCTTCATTTTTAGATCGATTAGATCTAGCAACCAATCTTGAATGGGATCTCTATTCTGTAACAGCTTGGGGCTTGCAGTGGCTGGTGAATTATAACTCCAACACAACTCAGCTATGTATGTCATGCAATATTGCTGACATTGGAGGCTGTCGACAGGTACCCGGGTACCCAATCATTGGTTATTTCCCAGGTAGCATTATCAAATAATGGATAACCGTCATTTAATAAGTTATTTTAAACTTATCAAACAATTATTACCCATTATTTGATAAGTTTAAAATTCTTATCAAAGTTTTTACTAAAATTCTTAAAAAAACTAACAGGCGGTTTTTTTATCATATATTTTAAGTTTAAAATTTTTTCATATTTTAAGTTTAAAATCATTATTCATAATAGTAATGAGAAAGAAGATCCTAAAGATTTTTTTGTTAAAAGTTTCAATAGTTACAATTTCTTTATTACAATTTCTTTATTACAATTTACAATTTCATCAGATTTTATGAAAATATGAAACATAGTGTTCAGAAAGTTATTTGGGAAATTATTTTAACTCCATTAGTCTTTGTCTCAGACAAAACTCATTCAAAACCTGGAGGATGACTAATATAACTATTTTGAAGTTCATTCAAAGAAAGTTTCAGTTGAGCAAATTGTATTTAAAATGTTTCCAGTTTCTTCTTAAAAAAGTATAGACTTTTTTGAAATTTTTTTTTTAGAATGAACTTTTTACGACAAAGTTCTAAAAAACTAAATTGTTATAAGAAAATAGTCTCCATCAATTTGTAATATAACATATTTAAAATTTAGATGTAAGTAAAAAATGAGTAGAAATAATTAAAAAGATTTTTTTATTGATCCATCCATTAGTTCGAGGGATACCCTGGCAGGCATTTACACAAGTTTTGACAGCCTTACTTACATTCCTATATTAGTAAATAGCAAACATCTGAGTCTTCTTTATGTCTTCTTGAATTGTCATTCACTACTGACCTCTCAACAAAAGTTGCCTATCTTTATCATGCCCACATTTTTATTTACTCTTGGACCATTCTCTACCTCCACAAATCTTTATTCATCCCGGTATGAAAAATGTCTGTTACTTGAGCTACTCTCCCATCGTGGTAAGGTTGTATTTTTTTCTCTTTTATAATTTGTTTTAACTATTTAGTGTTTTTAATGCAGTATTTTATTGGAAATATTTGACAGCCACTGAGTTCCTGAATTCTCTGAAGTTTTTAAATTCTCTCCCAGCTCTCTTTCTTCTGAAACTTATAATGTTATAAGTTTTAATGTTACTTATTAAGCTATAACTGTCAAATCTCAGTTATTTTTATTGATAGGTAATTGCATAATGTTAAATTTTTTGTAAAAATAGTTCTGAAATATTTTTATTATATAGTTATGATAAATGAATGTTTATTTTTTTAGATTGTATGTGTCTTGAATCATATCATATCTTATGTGCAACTTCGAGGCTCAGTACCTATTTATTGGAGTCAACCAGGATTAAAATATAGACCAATGCCAGTAATTGATCGAAGTAAGCTTTAAATTTAATTACAAGTTAGTTGTATTAGTTGTGATTTCAAAATCAATAAATTTTGCTTATAACATACTTGTTCATAAGTTAACAAATTTTGATAAAATGAGGGGTCATCAAAATGATTTTGCGGGTGAAAATTAAAAAAAAATTAAATTTGACCTGTCTTCCTCCTTACAATAAATCACAAAAGGGTAACCAAGTAACCAAAGTTTGAGTAATCAGTATAAATTTTTGAAAATTTTGCTTAAAAAAGTGTTTAAAAAGAGGTTCTTCTAGACTCTTGCTATCTCCTTGTAATGCAATAAAAGCGTGTTTGATATGTAGCTCATTATGATGATGGTGATGCTAGCCATGGAAGTTTGTTATCTAGCTTATATCCTTATATCGTAGTGGAAAGAGACTTTGATAGTAAAAAAAGTCTCTTTCAATGCTTTTTTTTAACATTTAAGTGACATCAACAATTAAGCAACATTTTAGTGTCTTTCAAAAGTCAAAACAATTAAAATAATGCAAAATTATATTAATTTTTATTTTTTGAAAAAAAAAAAACACAATAATAATGACTTTAATTTTTTTTTTTAATTTAATGGTGTTTTTGTTTTTTTATTGTTTTATAATATTTTGAAAACATACAAGGAATGTTGCTACATCAATCGACAAAAAGCAAAACATGCAAGGATGTGTTGCTTTTTTACTGTAAAACATATGCATAGTGTTGCTACATTAACTTTCTTATAACCTGCTGCTACAAGGGAGTGCTGCTATATAGACTATCTTATAGCAGATTTCATGTATTCATGCGCAGGGCTATATATATATATATATATATATATATATATATATATATATATATATATATATATATATATATATATATATATATATATATATATGTATATATATATATATATATATATATATATATATATATATATATATATATATATATATATATATACATATATATATATATATATATATATATACATATATATATATATATATATATATATATATATATATATATATATATATATATATATATATGATATTTTTATGTGTGTTTATATATGTATTTATACACCTCATAACATTTTTGTGACTTTTTAGGTTATGATGAATCACAAAAATCATTTGCCAAACATTTTGATAGTGATTTGTCTCTTTATAATAAGATTGTAAGTACCTCTTTTTTTTTTTTTTATTACTTTTCCTTTACTTAAAGTACTTATTCTAATAATATTCAAGTACTATATAATATTTATAAGTACCTCTTTTTTTTTTTTACTACTTTTCCTTCCCTCTACCTTTCTTTACCATTTTTTCTCTTCATCAGTATAATTTAGATTTTTTTACCAACCTAACTAATGTATTTTTATTTAACTTAGTTCAATTATTATTACTTTAATCTTTTTGTTTCCAGATTATAGTAAGTTTAGTTGAGTTGAAAGGAACAGAAAAGGTTGGTATTATTAACATATTAATGTTATATGTTAATGTTTTAATAAAATTGTAGTTAATTGAGCGTACAAGTAGTGAATTATATACCTGTAGTGGTGTGGCACACCGCTACATGTGCTGTATGTATAAGATAGATTGACTGTATGTATGAAATAGGTTGACAAATAGTGAACCTATTTCATACATACTGTACAAACTATTATGACCAATAAACAAAGAACTGCATCTATGCTTTACTCAAATATTTAACTTTTTGAGTTTGTTATTATTATTTATTTTTGAATTTTATTCTATTATTGCCTCTGATTATCTTTATTGTTATAAGTATTATTTAAATTTATTGATTCAATATTTCATTTTTTATTTATTGATTCATATTTATATTTCATGGAAATCTGAACAATAATATTTTGTTTTGAAAGATTATTGCTGACAACTATTTGGAGCATATTTTAACTTACAACAGTGATCAGTTGACATTTTTTATATTTGATTTTCATGAGTATTGGTAAGTTTTTCTACTGAATATTTTATAACTAAATATTTAATTTTCTTAAAACAAAATATTTTTAACCAAGGTATAAAAATGTAGTTTAAAATGCATTTGATAATTTCATGTAGTTTGACATACAAAAGATGCTTACATATTGTTTACAGTAGATTGACATACATAAGATGCTTACCTAATGTTTACTGTAGTTTGACATACATAAGATGCTTACATATTGTTTACTGTAGTTTGACATACATAAGATGTTTACACGATGTTTACTGTAGTTTGACATACATAAGATGCTTACATGATGTTTACTGTAGTTTGACATACATAAGATGCTTACATGATGTTTAAAGTTCATTAAAGTTATATTGATTCTCTCAATTATATTAAAATTTTAATCTTTTTAAAATATCATATTTATTTAATATTGTAACATATTTCTGTTTCACTCCTTGAGTTTTTTTAATAATTTCTTGACATTCTGGTTCATTTAGTCATCAACATCATTTAAAAATTTTACAAGCTTATTACTGATAGTAATGCCTTGCTTCTTAGAAGCTTTTAAGTGGTGGACAGTATAATATATTTACATATTCAACAACTTAAGTTTATTTAGTGTCTCTCAAACTACTATTATAGTCTTGACCAGCGGTTTTAATCATAGAGAGAGCTCCACAGTATTATAAAATTTTGTATTATATATTATAGCAGTGCTTAACATTTATAACAATAACAACACTTATAACAGATCTCATATTATTTATAAATTGTATAAAAAAAAAAAAAATTAAAGTATGGATAATACATCAATATCTTATATATAATTATCAATTATATTTAAGATTTGATTTCTCTCTTTAATTTTTTTGTAAAATATTTTGTCTAGTACTCCTTTTAGATTTGTTAGAGTGTCACCTGCGATTTTTGACTGATATTGCATTTTTCTTTACAATAATATGATTAATAAACAGTGGAAGTTTATTTTACTTTTTTTTAAAATTTTTTTTATTTGAAGTTGAAGGATTTAACAAAATTTTCATTCAAGTTGTTTTTAACATAAAGTATTATAATCATTTATTTACAAAATCGACAATAGCAGTTTTTAATCTCCATCATCTTTGTGATATATTCTGTATTTATATCTTATTTTTAATCTCCATCATCTTTGTGATATATTCTGCATTTATATCTTTGCCATGTAAGCTCAAACTTTCTATGAATTTTATTTCTATACCTTGTCTAGCTACATTCTACATGCTTTACAAAAGAAAAAGTATGGCAACAAATAAAGTGGATTTTAAATTACACTTTTAGTGTCTTTTCAAGTGAATAACCTGTTTCTTGTAGATATAGAAACACATTACTCATCATGAATATTTTTTAGTCTGAGTCTTATCCAGAATCTACATAAAATAGATATGTTACGTTGATTTGTAATTCAAAATAAAGTTTAACAATCATTTCAAAAATTTTATTTGCATTATTACTATCTTATTCGATTCTCTGGTATTTTTTTTTTTTTTTTTTTTTTTTTATATAGTGTTTTTTTAGCTATAACTTGAACCCATCACTTTATCTTCTTTTTATTATGTAGTTTTTTAACAGTATAAATTCTGTTATTTTATCTACTGCTCTGATGAAAAAATATTGCTTAGGTGGAGTAATTAAATTTTCTAGCAAAATATTTTTACCAGTGTTAAGATATATTCACAATATTATCAAATTCATTATAAAAGATTTGGTAATCTATGTTTTACATATGTTTCATGAGAAAAATCAAGATCAACAATGGTTCTAATGTTTCCTAAATCATGTGTACATTTACAACTACACCACAAACAAAGCGTTTTTACCTGTGTGTGATAATTTAATTATGCATTAGCATATTTAAGATCAAAAACAACATGGTAGTATATAATACATATAATACATCTTCAAGGTTCTCAAGCACTAATCTAATAGACACTCTACTTGTTTTTCATTTAAAATCTAATAGTGACACCCCACTTGTTTTTAATTTTAAAAATGTCTTTTTAATATGTTTCCTCTTTTTCTTAGTTTTAAACAGTGACTGTGTTTTGTTCAGTTGTCTACAGTTGCAGCAGTCTAGTAACTAGAAAACAACTATTTCATTTGTTTTCAGATTTTGGTTCAGTAAAATTCAGTTTTATTTGTAATGTATATTTAAATACATATTTTTAATTGTTACATAGACTTCTACCAGTTACATTATAAGTAGAAATAAAGGATTATGGGATATATGGTTTATGCACAAAAACTTGGAATGTTTTATATTAGATTTCATGAAAAATTGTTATATTTTATATAATATTGTAGCTCATGTTATATTTAATATATTTAAATAATAAATATATAAAATGCCTTAGCAAAATAAAGTTTCATTTTTAAAGTTTCACTTTTATTCTAAAGGTTTCAATGATTCTGCAAGTTTATTTCAAAATATTCTTTATTAAGACTTACAGTGACACAAACTATATGTTAATATTTTAAATTTTTTATGAAATTCTAAAAAAAAAAAAAGAAGAAAAATTTATTGACAATGTTGATCAGCTTCTTTGGTGTTTTTTTCTAAGGTCTATAATTGTTTCAACAATTTTTTTTTTTTTTGTTTTTTTTGTTTTTTTTTGTTTTTTTTTTTTGTGATAAGCAAAGTTTACTTATTTCAGTAGTTAATAAGTCTTTTTTTTTTAATTTTTGTGTATTTTGTTTGTTTTTAAGTGTTTTATGCAAGACAACTGTACTCAAATGGCTGGTGACAGTTTCTACCCTTTGAAACCTATTTTCTTTTGTTATATTTTCTTCTTCTTCTCCATATTTATTTTCATATCATAAAAGTTTATCAAATAAAAAAAGTTTCTATTATTAAACAATAGAAAATTGATTTAATAATTTTTATGATATAAAACTTTTATTTTTAGTTTTTTTTTTATATTTAGCAGAGGTATGAAATTTGAAAATGTTTCAATACTCACTGATGTTTTTAAAGACCTCTATGATTCCATGGGATTTTACTGGTAATCTTCTAATTTTAATGTAATGATTATCTTCAAAATATGTAATAATTATCTTTTATATATATGATAAAATAGTAATAATATTAACATATATTTTTTTATATTATATATTATATTAATTAATGCAATATTGTATCAATAATATTAACATATCAATTTGTTTCTGTATTTATATGAGTTTAGTTTTGTTTGAAGCAACAAAAATATTCGGTGTTCTACTAAAAAATCATAAATATTGATCAAATATTATAAATTGATTGATTGGACAGTTTAAGATATGTATAATAAAGTAATATTTTATGCTAGCATTGCTAGCAACAAGTTTATCTCAATTTTTTTATTCATTGAAAATAAAGCCATTTTCAGCCCTATAGGTTAGACTTGATTAGAATTAGAAGTGAATTGAAATTACTCATTAGAATAAGGAAAACTTGTTGAATAAAATGTTCCTGTAATTTGAAACATTTTTTTAAAATGTTTTAAAGCAACTTAAGTCATGGAAATAATGTTTTGAAGCAATATAAGCATGATCCTGGTAGAATGACTTTAGGTTTTCAAACATTTGATCAGGAAATTGATGAAGTAACAAGTTAATTACATTTTTTGGTTCTCGTAATTTATGTATGCTACATAAAACTAATGTACCATAAATGCTGGTTCATCAAACTAAAGGATTGTATTTGACCACAGTTAACAAGCTTTTAATTTTTAACTTTAGACTAGCAGCATTGATGTTTGCTGTTATTTGATTGAATTCCACAGTTGGGAAGTGTTAAATCTGATAAGTCTCTGGTGTGTCCTGGGAACTGGTAGCATGTTCTGGGAAAATATGAATCAAATGCCAATAGCAACAGCTAAATCAATAGCAAATGCTAATTAGTATTTGCTGTTTAACAAATGATTTTTTATTTTTATCATGGCAAATTGTTTTTGATGACCAAGGATATATTAGTTTGATTTTTTTTTCCACAGGGCTGCTTAGTTAAGTTTCTCTCTCTTCTTTTATATATGATCATTGCAAAACTTACTTTAAGTGAATCTCCCCCATTGATTCCCAGCTTTAAGATGGCAAAGTTGTTGTATTGTTATGATGTCTTATCATACTGATATCAGTAGATTACTAAAGCTGATGCAGTAGACATCTTGATCT